TGGTTGCGGAAGGCTGGGATAGGCTTCCCAGGAAAGGAGCATTCGGGCTGGGCTTTGAAGTATGAGTAAGACCGACAGAAATAGCAGGGAAGGAAATGTTTCAGGCTGACAAAACAGCTCATTCTGTGGCCCTGAGGCACGAGAAGGCAGAGGCCTTTCCCAGAGAGGACGGAAAAACTAGAACAAAAGGCTGGGAGGAGCCTGGAGGGACCCAGCGGGGCAGCAGCCCGCCAGCTCTGGGTGAAGGCTGGGCCAGGTCTCGGGGAGAACTGGAAGGTCCCGCTGCACTAAGACCACAGCTTAGAGAAGAGCAGAAAGGAAGCTCTTTCTAAATTACAAAATGCACACTCCCGTGATTCGGGGTCAGCAGCGCAGGCGGCGGCAACGTGTTCAACACAGTGAGAGTTTGGGGCAAGGGCATTAGAAGCCCTTACACTGACCCACGCCGGGACCTGTTTACGCCCTGCCGGTGCAGTGGCCATGTTAGCCATGTGTCTGCAATTCCCTTACCAGCAACCTCAAACCATCCTCTCCGGAGGTTTCCAAAGCAAGCTGCTGGGCAGGGACTTCCGGGGCTGCTGCTGTGTCTCCCGGTCACTGGCCCCACCAGCTCTGCCACGCAGGGGTCCGCAGCGCCTTCGCAGACTCAGGAAGGCTGGCTCTCTGGACACGTGCTTGGTCCAGCCTTCCCCTTTCTCTAGCTTTCTCGTCTCTTCCTCCCTCCTGGGGTTGAGTTCTCTTCCCAGTTGTGTGCTGTGACTGTCATCCCCCAGCCAGCGCCTGAGCAGATTCCAGCCCGCCTTTCGCAACATAATCTTGCCACTCCTGTCCCAGGTCTCCCGGTGACCGGCTGCCGCCCACGCTTGCTCAGCTGGGGTGAGGCCCACGGAGCTGGAGCAAGTTGCCTTGGGCTTCTGCTGAGAAGCGTTCTCCATCGGCCACTTTTTCAGGCTATTTTTTAGAGAAAGAAGGACAGAGTGCTCATTTCACTTGCTTAACCAAATTCTATGGTGAACTTACTTCGACTAACAAAAGCGACCACTCCATGCTAGCCTCAGACACTTTTCAGCCTGCTGTCCTGCTCACGTCCGTGGAAACTGAGGCGGGAGAAATGGCTCTTGCTAAAGGGGTGGTGGTGGTGGTGGTGGTGACTTTTGGTTTGGCTCAGAAAACTAACAAATAATAATAATGGAAAACACTTGCCTTCCCTCTGCACAAAGTTGAGTATATTGACTAATCAGAAGACCATGGGAAAGAAATGCAGCCAAACAGGATTTAGAAATAAGTGCCCCCAAGTACCCTTAAGACAATCGCTGCCTGTCCTCCAGGTAAAAGGGCATGCTTTTGTCTCTAGCAGCGTTTGAACGTCCAAGATAAGCCTCCCTGGCTTAAGGTGCCTGTGAAATGCGACCCAGTGGCCACGTCATGGACGCAGCACCCTCCTAGCCCAGCACATCATCCATCCTCCCATCCCCTTGTACATTTTAGGAAGGAAACTCACTTGTAGCCATGAAATCAAATTCTTCCTGTCAGGAAACCAAACACCTGACCGTATCACTTGAAAAAATTCACACAGTAGTTCAGGAAAATAAAGTCTGAGAAAGAAACAAAGAAAAAGCAAGCAAGCTTGAATTTTCCTAATGTCCTAGCCTCAGCCCAACAAATAAGTTTGGAAGAAAGCCAGTATCGTCAAGTCTCTCCACAAAGGCTTTTCCACGACGAGACCCGGTATTGTCCCCATTTTGTGTAAAGTGTCACTGAGTCTGTAAATGGTGGCAGCCTTTGCTCTTCCTCGGAGCAGAGGACAGTCAGCCCAAGAGAGGAACTGCCACATAAAGTTTCCCCGAGAAGGAGGACCTGTTTTTAATGTGATAGAAAAATCTATTAGGAAATTCATTGTGCCTTGGGTCTCACTGAAGCAGGCGAAAGGTCATTTTCTTTCCACATACAGATCCGTCACCCAGTCTCCACTCCCTTCCCCAGGGTGGCTTTAGTTGGCTTTGTTTTTGAAAAGTCCGGGAGTGTGGAACACTCTGACACCTAGATGAATCACCGGAGGACCTTGTTAATAATAGCTATTTAGGGTTCCTCTGTGGGCCTACCAATTGGGAATTCTGGGGCTCGGGCGAGAGCCACCTTTTACACAAGTCACCTTGCAAGTCCTGATTCAGGGGGTGCTTAAGAATACTCCTCAAGAAACATTACATCCACAGACACAAAAATCCCTGAGTGGCACATAGGGAAGCCAAGGTCTCAGAGGAAAAGATCATCCTTAGCACCAGGATTGGTCCCCAGGTAGGGAGCTTGGTCTTTATCAGGTAGCAAGGGCCACTGGAAGGTTTTAAGCAGGTGAACGCCTGCTCACTCTCTCCAGGAAGCCAGCATCCAGCTCCAGGAGACACTCCTGATCCTTTGGGCAGCAGTATGACCACACATAGAGTGCTCGTAACTCTCCACTGACTACACAGTGCGGGGCTGTGTGATTGTCCTCACCTCTCCACCACGGACATGGCCACCGGGTCTGGAGTACAGTAATTGTCCGATGAATGTTTAACCAAGGGGACTATTGTTTTCCAGGTACCACACAGCACTGCCAAATGGTCCTGATTTGTTTACACAAAAACCAACCTCACTGCCTCCCCGCCAGTCCTCACCTGCGTGGCTTAGAAGGCTTCATTTCAAGCACAGAAACTGGGCCCTGTGCGTGAGACTCTTTAACTACTTTTAAGCACATTGCAATGCAGCGTGGTCAAAATATATGTGAACGCTTACATTTAAAAAAAAAAATTATTATAACAAAATGCATTGCCCTTGGTCCCCCTCTAGGTCCACCCCCCCGCTTTGAGCACATTGATCTCATCTTCCAGGCCACTTTCCGAAGCAGTTCTGGAAGTCTTCGTTCTTGAGTGTCCTTAGTTGCACTGGCCTGGCTGCTTCGATGTTCTGACTCAAAATTCAAAGCATTTACCTTTCATTTTGACTTTGGGGAAGACCTGGAAATTGCATGGTGCCAGATCAGGTAACTAAGGTGGATGAGAACATGGAGTCATGTTTTTATTTGACAGAAATTGCCGTAAATAGCCAGGCACGGTGGCGCACGCCTGTAATCCCAGCACTTGGGAGGCTGAGGCAGGAGGATCATTACGAGTTCAAGGCCAGCCTGGGCTACAAAGTGAGCTCAAGACCCGCCTGAACTGCATAGCGAGACCCTGTCTCAAAAAGACAAAAAAAAAAAAAAAAAAAAAAAAAAAAAAAAAAAAAAAGAAATTGCCATAAATGCCTGAATTTGGGACATCAAGACAGCCAAAGAGTCACAAAAGAGGACTTTGAGTCCTGCTTTTTCGGCAGGGGCAAGAAAGATGGCATAGGTATGTTCAAAGCCGAGGGGAGGTTTTTGAGGGGAGATTAAAGACAGTGTGTCTCTTACTGCAATAATTTTTTTAAACACACACTATATTTCTTGCTCAGTCCTTTTGAGAAGTTAGTTTTCATTTTGATGTTTCAGAAACAACAAATTCTAGCAATCCTCCACATGCCTCTCAAAGTCAGGAAAAGGTAGCAAGAGCCGATTATACAACATCAAAGCACCTGGTGTCCAGAAGCGCCCAAGTCCTAAATGCAAAACACCTGCATTCCGGTCAGGACCACTGCTCTCGTGGCCCGGCCCCAAGCACCTGTTTCAATCCAGCCTGCTTGGAAGGAGGAAGTGTGAATTAGAACTCTCCAATTCTGAATTTTTCTTCTTTTAAAAGTGGCCAAGCAACACTCCAAAAACTAGGAATCCCAACGACTCCCCCTGTGAAATTCCCGCAAGACAGGTCTTGCGCTTCCCAGGGAAGACTGACCTAACCAAGGCTGGGGCAGTGGGAATTGTTTACCTGAGAGGAGAGGTGTGCACCACCGACCTGCGCCTCATCCAGGGCTCCTGGGACACGGGGTCTGGGCCGCAAGGACCTTCAGATCGGCACCGAGACTTGGGGGCTCATTAATCCCGAGGCGTGGGGAGACCCGAGTGAGCAGATAGGAGACACCTAAGCGTTTGGGGGCGCCCTGAATGGATCCAGAGTCGCCTTCCCCAGGTCTCACGGAAAGGCTGAGGTCCATACCCCCGGCCAAGCGCGGTAAGAGGCAAGCCCTGGCCCGTACCTGCCCTCCGAAGAGCCCTGCGCCTCACTCTCGCCCTCCCCTCCAGCACACCTTTGGGCTCCGCACCTGCAGCCTCGGGCGGGAGGGCGGGGGAGGGGGCTGCCGCAGCTGCCGCACGTGGTGGCGCCCGGG